GAATAGTATATCAATTTTCCTTAATCCTTCTTCTTCTTTTTTCTTTATCCTTTCTTCTTTCTCTCTTTGTTATAACTGATTTCATTGTTCACCCAAGAACTCTGTTTCTCAATCTTGATTTGTTGAAAGGTATTATTTGTGATCACAACAAACAGGTATGGTGAGCATGGAGAAGATGTCGTCAACAAAGTTTAAAGTTGAGAAGTTTACCGGAATTAATGACTTCGGTTTATGGCGTTTAAAGATGCGAGCCTTTCTTGTTCAACAGGGTTTGCTAGAAGTGTTAAAGGGAGAAGATGTCATGGATGTTACATCGACAGAGAAGGAAAATACAATGATGTTCGAGAAAGCCCATAATGCAATTGTTCTGAGTCTTGGTGATAAAGTTCTCAGGCAGGTTTCGAAGGAGACGACAACAACATGTGTTTGGTTGAAACTCGAAGTATTATATATGACAAAATCCTTGGTGAATCGTTTGTACTTGAAGAAAGCTTTGTATTCGTTCAAGATGAATGAAGATAAAGCGTCAACGGAGCAGTTGGTTACATTCAACAAGCTGATTCTAGATCTTGAAAATATTGATGTTACCATCAATGATGAAGATCAAGCATTTTAATTGCTGTGTTCTTTATCTAAGTCACATGCTCACTTGAAAGAAACTCTCTTGTATGGAAGAGAGTCCATGACCTTTGAAGAACTTCAAACAGCCTTGTATTCAAAGGATTTAAACAAAAGAAGGAAGCATAAACCATCATCATCAGTTGGCAAAGGGTTGTCCGTAAAGGGGAAATCATCGAAGAGAGATGGTAGGTTTGAGAAGAAGAAAGGTAAAATTTAGCAGAAGTCTTATGGTGGTGAAATTTCTGGGATTAAGTGTTATCACTGTAAGAAGGAGGGTCACACAAGAAAGATGTGTTCTGAGCGCCTGAATAATCATGAAGGTGAGGACAATGGCAATGCAGCTATTATGCAAGATGGATATGAATAATCTGATGTCCATATGGTGTCGAGCAGCAACTCTTGCAAAGAGTGAATTATGGATTCTGGATGTACTTGGCATATGACTCCAAACAAGAATGTGTTGAAGAAATATGTGACCAAGATGGTGGATCAGTACTGTTGGGAAACAATAAAGCTTGCAAGATTGTAGGTATTGGATCTGTAAGATTCAAGCTCCATGATGAGTCAATAAGGCTATTGACTTGGGTTAGGTATGTACCTGACCTTAAGAGGAATTTAATTTCTCTTGGTGAATTTGATAAGAAAGGATATATCTTCAAAGGAGAGCAAGGTATCCTGAAAGTCATGAAGGGGTCAAATGAAGTCTTGAGAGGCGTGAAAAACAAGGCTTGTATACCCTTGAGGCTGAGGTTATAAGGGGTTCGACAAATTTTGCATCCACAAACCTGTGTCGAAGAAAGAATTATGGCACATGAGATTGGGCCATATCAGCGAAAGAGGTCTGGTCAAATTAGGGAAACAGAACCTGCTAGGTGGTGACAAAGTCGAGAAGTTAGAATTTTATGAAGCTTGTGTATTTGGCAAATCCTGTAGGGAGAAGTTTAACAAAGGTAAATAAAGAACACATGGATCCCTTGATTACATCCATGCTGATCTTTGGGGGCCTGCAAGGAATCCTTCACATGCAGGTGCAAGGTATTTTCTATCCATTGTTGATGACTATTCCAAAAAGTTATGGGTATTCATTCAAAAGACGAAGGATGAAACTTTTGAGAATTTCAAAAGTTGGAAGGTTCTGGTCGAAACTCAAACTGGTAGAAAGATCAAGAGGTTGAGAATCGATAATAGCCTTGAGTTCTACAACGAAACATTCGACAGTTACTATGTTGAGTTTGGGATTGTAAGGTATAAGACTGTAGCAGGTACTCCTCAACAAAATGGCTTAGCAGAGAGATTCAATCAAACAATCCTTGAAAGAATTAGATGCATGTTGGTTAGTGCTGGATTGAAGAAGGTGTTTTGGGTAGAGGTTGTTTCGACAGCAGCTTATCTGATAAATAGATGTCCCTCAACTGCCTTAGGAATGAAGACACCTGAAGAAGTTTGGTTGGGTCAGCCACCAGATCTCGACAAAATGAGAGTAGTTGGTTGTTTAGCCTATGCTTATATTAGGCAAGACAAGATCGAACCTAGAGCTCTGAGATGCATGTTCCTTGGATATACTGAGGGAGTCAAAGGCTATAGGTTGTGGTGCCTAGAACCAGGTCACAAAGATGTATCACAAGTCGTGGTGTAATTTTCAATGAAGTCGAAATGGCGTTCAATAAAACTGGTGATGCTGGTAGAAGTGCAGAAATATCTGAAGAGGAGCTGAAACAGGTAGATATTCCTGTTGAGGTGGAGCATTGTGATGCTGAAGTGCATAACCCAGATGAAGTCGAAGAAGAAAAGCAAGATGCTGAAGAGATTGAGGAAACTGTCGATGACTACCTATTGGCAAAAGATAGGTCGAGAAGAGTCATCAAGCCACCTTAGAGACTTGGTTATGCAGATCTTATAGCTTTTGCCTTAATCTCTGCAAGTGAGGTACTTGAGGAAGAGCCTAGAGATTACAAAGAAGCTATGAGGAGTCGAAACAAGACTGAATGGCAAAAAGCCATGGATGACGAGATGAAATCTCTTCATGATAATAAAACTTGGAAGATGATTAAGAAACCTGCAGAAGCAAGGTTAGTCAATTATACGTGGATTTTTAAGGTCAAGGAAGGAATGGAAGGAGTGATGTCAATGTGCTTTAAGGCAAGAATAATTGCTAGGGCGTTCACTCAAAAAGAAGGTGTTGACTTCAATGATGTGTTCTCACCTGTTGTAAAGCATAGATCCATTAGAATGTTGTTGGTCATAGTGGCGAAGTTTGACTTAGAACTTGAGCAAATGGATGCGAAGACAAAATTTCTGTATGGCGACCTAGACGAAACGATTCTGATGCGTCAACCTAAAGGGTGTGCAGAAAAGGATAAGGAAGATTATGTGTGCAAGCTAAATAGGTCTTTGCATGACCTGAAACAATCTCCTCGTCAGTGGAACAGGAGATTCGACAAGTTTTTGCCACACATTGATTTCACTAGGAGCCAGTTCGATCATTGTGTTTACTTCAGATTTTGACCTGGATATTCACTTGTTATTTTGTTGCTATATGTGGATGATGTCCTCATAGCTAGCAACTGTGTCGAGGATGTAATAGAGGTGAAGGCTGAACTCAATAAGGAGTTCGAAATGAAGGATTTGGGAGATGCCACTCGGATTCTTGGGATTGACAGCCGGAGAGATAGAAAGTAGTCGAAGTTCTGCTTATCTCAAGAGACATACCTACGGAAGCTTCTCGGCAAGTTTGTTATGTCGAATTCAAAGTCTGTTATGACTCCAACAAATCCTCAGTTTAAGCTTAATAGTACTCAAAGTCTGAGTATTGAAGCTGAAAGAATCTATATGAGTAGAATTTCATATGCTAGTGTAGTAGGTTCATTGATGTATGTTATGGTCTACACAAGGCCAGACATAGCGTATGGTGTGAGTCTTGTAAGCAGGTATATGGTCAATCCTGGAAAGGCGCACCGGTAAGCTGTAAATTGGATTCTCGGGTACATAAATGAGTCATTGAAAAGAGTTTTGATTTATGGTGGAGCCTGTGGTGATGATAGCAAAGTCGAAATCGAAGAATTTATCGGCTCTGATTATATAGGTTGTATGGATTCCAGAAAGTCTATTTCTGGATATGTGTTCACTATATTTGGCACAACAATCAGTTGGAAAACAACGCTTTAGAAGATTGTTTCCTTATCAACCACTGAAGGAGAATATATTGCCCTCACTAAAGTTGTGAAAGAAGCATGGTGACTTGAAGGTTTTACAAAGGAGCTGAAACTTTAAGGTCGAAGTATCACTGTTAAATGTGATTCTCAAAGTGCAATACACCCGTTGATGAACTCAGTCTATCATGAGCGAATAAAGCACATCAATGTGAGTCTGCACTTTGTCAGAGAGATAATCGAGCGTGGTGAATTCCAGTTGCTGAAGGTTTCAACTGATGACAATGTTGCTGATATGATCACCAAGACGTTGTCAAGTTGTAAGTTTTTCCACTGTATGCAGTTGATAAAGCTGCATAATGAAAGGTAGTTGATTCCCTGTTTGTTAAGTTAGATCCAAGGTGGAGAATTGTGAGATTTTGGGTCGAACTCAAACTTTGTCGAGGATTAACTTTCGTGTATTTCGACAAGAGACAAGCATGAAGTCGAAGGTGGGTCGCATGCTGTGGTCGAAGGATACATATTGTAGTCGAAGTCTGTTCTAATATGTGTTGTCGAAATGTTTGTTGAATTGCGCATTTTGTTATGGATCCAATTGTTTAGTTAGTTTGCGTTGTAAGTTATCTAGTTAGTCTATATATAGGATAGAACACTCAGTTTGTTGAGTGTGATCAGATTGTAATATTCATTTGTAATCATTTGTAAACCCTAAATGAGAAAGTGGATAGTAAACAATTTGCTCTAATCCTTCTTTTTTTTTCTTTATCCTTTCTTCTTTCTCTTTGTTATAACTGATTTCATTGTTCAACAAAAAACTCCGTTTCTCAATTTTAATTTATTGAAAAATATCGTTTGTGATCACAACAGATTTCATTTGTCAAACAAACCAAGTCTACGATAATACTAGTACTTGCCATTAATCTTAATTCTAATGTGAGCATTAGACTAGACTAGTTGATAAGAGGATATAGGTAAGCCTTCTTACAGATAATGATATATAATTGATCCATATTGAGTGTGACAATCATACTGCCAGTATGGCCGACATAGTGGGATTATTATCCGAGTATGAGGAGTGCGCACCGATTATGAAAAGTACGAACCAAGATAGACATTATTACAGTCCAATATCAATAGTGAAAAATGAAATAACATAGTTTAAAAAATTAAATACAGATATCAAATAAACCATGTTCATAGTTTTGTACATTTTACATATCCAATATTGAATTAACTTGGCAATATTGGTAATGGAATGGTAACATGGAAGTCAATGACAGGACAACCCTCTGCATGTAAACCTGGAACTGTGGGGCATATGGCCAAAGGGCAGTGATCTGCTTCAAGACCCCACCATGTTGGACCAAAAATACCATAAGATTGAAGAGCAAAATAAAGTAATAAACCCATAAAAGCAACTCCAGCATCTAAACCAGCTGATAGAATATAAGTATGTCTAGCCCACCAAGCTTTGAACTTTCTATACACATAGAAATTGAAAAATATTCCAACAATTCCCCAACTTATATAATTCACAGATCTCACTGGTGGAATGCTAGATGCGCCTGCAATGATAATAGGAAAGTTAATAAGTTGAATCCACTTTTGGTTGGGAAATTTGATTGATAGAAGCCACACTGGAACAGGTACAAGTAGACCAATAAGGAAAAACCAATTCATCCCAGGATAAATGCCGTCTTTCGTAAACATTCTCTTTGGCCCTACAACTCCCCATATGATGGAAGCATTGTAGAACACATCATCACCAGGACATGTCCAAGGACTACCTTTTGGCAACAATGATTCATCACATATGTTCTCGATAGATGTTAGAAGCCACCATGCTGTTCCAAAGTGAATAGATGAAGAAACTACTGTGCCTACAAGCTGCACAATGAACATTGATTTTGGTGGAATTTTCATATAGTGGCCTAATTTGAAGTCGCCAAGAAAAGCAAGTGCTTGTACCATGCTGATATGGCCGTACGTTTTGAAAGCTACATTAGCTAGTGGTTTTCCTGGATAGATGAAACCGATAACCAACTCTGTGATCACATTGAGACCTGTTCTTATGTTTGTTGTTGCTTCAATGACGCCAATCGGTAAAGTGAAAACTAATGCAATTGCTAGAGAAAGTAAGATTCCCCACCATGGAAGTTGAAGTTGCCTGCCAAAGCCTTCGCAAGCTACTAAAGCCATCATAACCATTAGAATTAGAATGGAAACAAACCACCATTCAGGAACCTGTTCATAGTTTTTCTTCATTATTCTTGTATGGACATCTCCGAGTTTTTCTAGTGAACTTGCCGTCTTTTTCCACATCTGAAGAATCATTTCTCCATGGAAAAGGACAACATGCGAAATTGTGGCTGTAAGAGCTGCAAAGCTCATTCCGTATTGGAACGCAAATGTGACACTAAGATAGATTTTGCTGTAATTGTTGTAACTGTCCATATCAATGTCAAAAGTTTTGGTATTGAGGATCTGAGTAATATTGTAAGTTGCACCGGTAGAATCAAATGTGTGAGAGCTAATGATAGGAAATTTTTGAGCATCGTATAAATTGTTCCAATAGGAAATTGGAATTAAAACATACATATACAATAAGAATCCAGCCATTATGTTGATGATGGCAAAGCCAGGAACAGCCAAAGGACTACCTATGAAGCCAGCAACCGTGTTCCAGTCCAGGCCAAATGAACCAACGCCAAGGCCTTTCATGCCCGATCCGATCTGTTGCGCAGTGATAGAATTTTTCCAAATCAAGCAAACAAAAGACACAGTCGATATTGCTTGGAAAAAATAGCCCGGGACAATGTAATATGCAAAGCTAGCTACAAAGACTATGAAAAAGAATTGCAGCCTAGAAGTTCCTCCTTTAGGCCTTTTTTCTTTTTCATGAAATGCTCTAAATAGAGAGACTTGCACAAGGTTTTCAGGCCACCACATGTAAGGCGAATCGACAAGGAACCTTCTGAAAATTCCAGCCCATCCATACCCTAGCATCTGAGTCGATAGTGCTAACATATACGCTGCTACTGGATTGATACTTCTGTGATAGAAAGCCTTGACAATTGTGATGATGTTAATTGCATAAACACCACTAGATCCTGAGCTAGCAAAGATAGTTATCAACGCGTGTTCCTTCAAAGAGAATGGCCCCGGATTCAACGAAAAAGACAAATCTGTGAAAGGGACTTGAATTGGTTTTGTGGGAAGTGTTGCAGCCATAAGTTTCCCAAGTGGGAGTGTAATAATCTGAGCAGAGACAGAAGTGATTTTCAAAGGGTTGGTTCTGTAGCCTAAGAATTGGTTCACAAATGCAAGGAGCACACATGAAGCTAGTCCCAGAATCCATGTCCGAAAAGTGAGTGCTGGCTGAGAAGGGTCATCAGTGATTGGAACTGTTAGTCTCACTTGCTCAATAGGACTATCATTAATGCTATATTCATCTTTCACTTCATCTTCTAATTCTATGACCCTATTTTGAGACCCTTCACCACTTGATATCTCAGATTCCTAATCCAAAAAACAACGCATTAATCCAGCTTTGCTTGGAAAAACAGCTTAACTAAGTATACCATAAACCATTATCATAAACATGTGTTTATATCAATAATTAATATATGCTCAAACATGGGAATTCAAAGCAGCTTACGCATGCATTAGAATATTGTAGTTGAAGAGTGAAAGTATGTACCTTTTCCAAATCAAGAAGAGGGGAGGTAACAGACATGCAACGCTCTGAAGAAAGTGGTGATGCATTCTTCTTCATTGCTTGCAAATATGAAATAGATAGCTGTGAAGTTTAGTATTGAAAAGGATATATATGTTGAATTCAAGCTTCGTAGTAGTTAGTAGCATCTAATAGAGTTATGAAGTCAAGGTTAATAATGCATGAACCTAGACACAATTCCAGTAGTATTAATTAGGAGCAAAACTAGCTTGTGTGAATTTAATGTTGAATTTGAAAATATCAATTTCATGATTGGTGTTTGTCTTTAGAGGGAAGTTATATTGGTTTGCCAACACTTTGATTAGATGGCGTAGCAAGCAACCAAGTGTACATTATTACAATTATTATACGCCCACCTATATTTCCATAGACTTTATTATGTTTATTGTGTGAGATATCAATACCAACTTGAAAATTCATCTTTTTAACAAACCGTCAACTTATTGAGTTACTAAATTACTGGTCGGACCAATAAGTCACTAGTCGAATCGAATAATCTTAATTCAATTTATATAAATTAAAAAAAATTGTTAAATAAAATTTTTGATATAAATTTTATAATTATAAAATATATAAAAAAACTATAAATTTTTTCGAACAAATAAGTTAATGAATAATTTTAAATAAAATTTCAACTTTCAAACTTAATAATTTATTCATACTGATAAATTAACAAAAATAAAGAAAATAATTGTATGTCATAATACTACTATAAACTAATAAACTAATATAGAATATAAATGTATATTATACTCTATATAAATAATAAAAAATAAAAAATAGAGTAGAAAATAGAAATCTATAAAGAAAAAGATAATAAAAATAATGCACCTTTACTTAAAATTAATAACGCGATTTATATATAAAAAGTTAATAAAAATAATGTGATTTTTATTAATGAGATTTAAATTTTAAAAATAATATGAAAATTTCATTTCATTTTTTTAAATAATGAAATTCCTGAAAATAATGTAAAAATATTATTTTATTTTATTTTTAACATATTTTTTGTTCAAAACCTTTGTTAATTTATAAATATAATTTCATTACTTTTGTAACATTATTATAAATAAATTAAAATATTGGATTTTTTTTCAAATTTTTTATAATAAAATAGAATTTTAAAACAAAGACACCAAAATTTAAGAAAAATATAAATAGGAGGACTACAATTTTAATTAAGTTAATAAATAAATAAAATAGATCAGTATGCCGGATCAAGAAATTCACTGGTCTGACCAGTAAATCAGTCGGATCACATTGATTTTCATTGGATTAATTGTAATTATGATGCGATGACTTTACCGGACTGCTCTACACTCTAGTTCACGGTTTAACCAGTCCGACCAACCGAAATGATTCGGGTTTTAAAACATTGCTTTTAACTTTTTGATACTTCTGTTTTTTTATAAGTTGTTTTAAATTTTTCACATGTATTAAAAAAAATAATCATTACTATATGATAAAGAAAAATTATAAAAGATTTTATAATATTATCTTCTATTAATTACATGAAAACAATAAATTTAAATAATGAAATGAAGAGGTGATAATAAATATTTAAAGATTTAATATTGAAATGACTTATATTTTTGTATAAATTTTTTCTCCAAAGCTAATTTTAAAAATAACAGAGAAGGGAGTATTTTCTTTCTGCGCATCAAAAGTACATTACCATTCATTATTAAAAATGAGGGGTGTCAAAATTGAAGAATTTGAATTTAGATATAAGTAATTGTAGTCTAAATATTAGACGATAAATAGTAACATTCAAAGTTATTTATTTTGTTGGTATAAGACTTGTTAAATAAGTTTATTATGTTTAAATTTATGTTGGATTATCCTCCTATTATAAATCGCAACTTTGAAATGTATTAAATTTTTTTTTTATTGTATAGTTTATTTTCCCTATGACATGATGTATATTATAATGAAGCCGATTTTCATATTCGGTTGGATAGTTGTGGAGACATTGATCTTTAATTTTTTAAAATGAAGGATGTGTTTCATATTTTTAATATATCGAAGAATCTTATTTCTATTTGTAAGTTTACAAAGAATAACAATTATATATATATATATATATATATATATATATATATATATATATATATATATATATATATATATATATATATATATATATATATATATATATATATATATATATATATATATATATATATATATATATATATATATATATATATATATATATATATATATATATATATATATATATATTATTTTTATTGTATTTTTTAGGATCTTGCAACGAGGAAGATGGTTGGCATTGTTATGGAATATGGGGGATTATATTATCTCTCACATTCACAAAATGATCGTAAGATATTATCTTATGCACTTCAATCTTAGTCAGAGTCATCTTTTGTCTCCCAAATATGACTTTAGCGCAAACGTCTTGGTCATTCCTTTTTTTCATTAATGAAATAATTTATGGAGTCTTTTAAATGTGATATTTATTAGTTTTCTAAACATAATTGAATGATTTTTTTCTTTGAATCGTACTAAAAATGTTGAACATGTTCAACTAGAAAAAAGATATTTGGGAAAATGATTTTATATCAGGTATTCACTCGAAGCGATTTAAAATGTAAAGTTATTGTTCTGGCCTGACCCCTGGCTTGACCGGGCAGGCCCAGCCTAATGATATTCTGGCAGGCTCAATCCAGCTTGGGTCATAGCCGTCGAGCACAGAATCCCCGTCGGGCAGACAATGCCCCTCCGCGAGCAGATCCTTCCCCCTCTGCGGGCGGGACATTATCCCTCAGTGGGTAGAACCTCCTCTCTTGTCGAGCGCAAGACTCCCGTCGACCAGACACTGCACCCGTCGGGCAGAACCTTCCCTCCGCGGGCAGGACTTTCTCCCTCCGTGGGCAGAACAACGTGTCCTCCACACGTTCTCCACGTGCTCCCCTCCGCGGGGACACGTCACCAACCAACTGCCCACCTCCGAAAGAGCGGGTCAAACCCACTTTCCGGAGATCACGGGACAGTTGAACTAGGGCGAAGACCACGTTCTGGTCTTCACTATGCCACGTAAGTCCTAGCAGTCACTTGGGTTGGGCCTGGCCATCCAACCCAGCTCAAATGACCGTTGGCCCTGCGCTGTGGTCTCTATAAATACACTCTTTTACAAGAGGGTCAGGTATTCTCTTCTTACCCCCTTTCTGTACTGGCGATCACTCTGTCCATTCCTTACTTTGGCATCGGAGTGTCTTGCAAGTACACCCCCTCCTTTTCTCCAACACCGGTGAGCAGGCAGTAAGTCAAAGGCGTGTGGCAGTCAGTGATCCCCTTCTGATCAGGTCAGATCAGTTATTTATTTTGTTGGTATAAGACTTGTTAAATAAGTTTATTATGTTTAAATTTATGTTAGATTATCCTCCTATTATAAATCACAACTTTGAAATGTATTAAAAAAAAAATTTATTGTATAGTCTATTTTCCCTATGGCATGATGTATATTATAATGCAGATGATTTTCATATTCGGTTGGATAGTTGTGGAGACATTGATCTTCAATCTTTTAAAATGAAGGATGTGTTTCATATTTTTAATATATCGAAGAATCTTATTTCTATTTGTAAGTTTACAAAGAATAACAATTTTGCATATATTTTTTTTCATTGTATTTTTTAGGATCTTGCAACGAGGAAGATGGTTGGCATTGTTATGGAATATGGGGGATTATATTATCTCTCATATTCACAAAATGATCGTAAGATATTATCTTATGCACTTCAATCTTAGTCAGAGTCATCTTTTATCTCCCAAATATGACTTTAGTGCAAGCGTCTTGGTCATCCCTTTTTTTCATTAATGAAACAATTTATAGAGTCTTTTAAATGTGATATTTATTAGTTTTCTAAACATAATTGAATGGTTTTTTCTTTGAATCGTACTAAAAATGTTGAACATGTTCAACTAGAAAAAAGATATTTGGGAAAATAATTTTACATCGGGTATTCACTCAAAGCGATGTAAAATGTGAAATTATAAACACGGTGGCAGTATCGTAAATAATTAAGAAAAATTTAAAAATGGACTTTACATCGGTTATGAGATCCACCGATTTAAAAAGTTTACAAAATAAATTAATAAATGGGTTTTTAAATCGGTTATGCTTCCAACCGTTTTAAAAAGAGATATTAAAAAATATTATATGGGATTTTAAATCGGTTTTGGTTCCAACCAATTTAAAAAGTAATATTAAAAAAAATAAAAAAATGGATTTTAAATCGGTTATGTTTTCCACCGATTTAAACCCCCCCCCCCCCCCCCCTATTAAATCGGTTTCAGTTTCAACCGACTTAAAAAAAAAACCCTAAACCTAGAAAAAATAAAAAAATGGATTTTAAATTGGTTGTGTTTTCCATCGATTAAAAAAACCCCCCTATTAAATCGGTTTCAGTTTCAACCGATTTAAAAAACCCCCCCTAAACCCAGAAAAAGGTTTCGTTCACCAACATTCCAAGCATTCCTTTCAAACCTTAAAATCATTTCTCCCTCCGTCGCTGACGAAGTCGTCACCCCTCCGCCTCACAATTGTCGCCCACAACGTCCCTCCCTCCACCCCATGACTGTTCGCACGCCCACGACGTTCCTCCCTCTGCTGCTGACCGTTCGCCCACGACGAAACCTCCCTCCCTTCGTGCGAAACCTCTCTCCCTCCGTGTCGTCGCGCCCTCACCAATTCTGTCACCTCCTCCGTTATTCCCTCACCGATTTTGTAACCTTGCATATATTCGTTTGGCTGCTATGCATAAACATTATGCTGAGACTTGGTTCAAGATTAAAGGTAACAAGTAAGTGATTTTTTATAGTGATTTATCGTTGTTTTTTTTTTTTGAGATTGATTCTCTTTTGGTGGTGAATTTGTGAGATTGATGAATTCTAGTGATGTCTAATGTATTTTAGTATATGTTTGTTTTCACGTTTGGAGCATCTAGAATGTGATTTTGGATGTGAATAATTGATTTAAACATGTTTGGTTGTTTTAGAGTAGAATTGACTAT